CGGCGCGAAGACAGGCGGACTGCCCCCTGCGGCCCGCAGCGTGCGTTTTTATGCTGAGAACACCTGCCCTTCGCGGCCGCCTGGGCGTGGGCCCCGCTCGGCGTTGGTGTGTGTTTCCAAACAGCTCCCCCAGGGTGGCTCCTCAGGAAAGGTCTAGGACGCGGCTTTCTGCACCGCTTGGCTGTTAGCGCTCTTTCTTCTGCTCCACCCGCAGGCAGAAGAAGGGGCGTCTTCACGGTGTTGATTTGAGTTTGTCAGAGCGTGTCAGACAGCTGAAACTCTTCCTTGTTTTGAAAGAACCATTTGTGTCTCTCCTAGCTTTGGCATGGTCCACGATGGAGAAGGGAACGTGTGCAAAAAGTCAGAGGGCAACATAATGTCCCCCACGTTGGCAGGACGCAACGGGGTCTTCTCCTGGTCACCCTGCAGCCGCCAGTACCTGCACAAATTTTTAAGGTAGGAGCCCCTGAAGCTGGCTGTGTGTCTCTCGGTGCCTTTGATGCTCTGCGTGGTCGGCCTAACCCTGTCTGAGCAGCTCCAGCCCCAGGGGCAACTTCCCCGGAAGGTCCCCATTTAAGGCATCTCGAGACATTCATTTGACCAAAGAGTTTACCGAGTTTCTTCAGTCTTAATCCAACATCATTTGACCTTTAACCTCAAAAGAAGCCCATGAGATACTTACCAAAGCAAAGTATTTGTCACTAAAATTTAAGCTTTTTAAAAAAAATTCTTCTATAACTAGACATTTTTCAGTCCATAATTTTTTTTAATTTTTTAATGTTTTTAAATATTTTTTCTTGCAGTCAATTGAGATATGATTGACATACCATGAATTATTTTTTCTTGCAAAATACATTTCTTATTAGGAAGAAAAAAAATGAGTATATAAACCTTCACCTGGGTCTAAAATCCTATGATTTTAAGAATTATTTTTAGAAGCTTTTATTATAGTTCTAATTCACTTAGGGTGTAGACCACTGGGGAGATTGGGTTTGATCCCCTGAAAAAGTAAGTTTTAAACTTTTAGAGAAATAAGGGACTTTAAGAAACATTTTGGATCTGCTAGTAAAGTGGATTATCCCCCAAATGTCAATGGCTTTGAAGTTTGGCTTAAACTGGAAACTGCAATTCTGTTCCAAACTCACGTGACGCGCCATCACAGGGCAGTGAGCTCTTGGCCCCATGTGGTCACTCATGCCGTCACTCAGAGACCCAGGTTCCTTCCATCCTGTGGCTCTTTCCTCCTCAAGGACTCAGTTCCTCGCTGCAACCAGCTGGTGGCTGAGAAAAGAGGGAGCTCTGGAGGGGGTGCAGGACAGGGGCCGTGCTCCTGAAAGTGGGAACTCAGCCAGTGGCCCTCAGCGCAAGGGGTGGGGATGAGCAACACTGTCCATCTGTGTGCCCTGGAGGAAAGGGACGTGAGGGTGAGTAAAGAGAGGGGTGTCCGTGCTGTGCTAGCGACTCCAAGTCACATCACAGCTGCAGTAACTGAGACCCAGAGGCACTATATAGTTAGTGGCAGAAATGAGAGTAAAGCCGGCGCATTCTGGACCCTAGACGTAGCCTTCGTCCACTAATCCCAAGAACCACGGATGCAAAAGTGGAGGAAAAGTAAGTCTGTGGCAGTCATAGCTGTTGCTTTTGTTTTTATTGGTAGGTGCTTAACAAAATTACTTGGTTCAAATACTGAAAAAAAAAAAAAAAAAGAAAAGGGACATTTCTCCTGCTTCGTTATTTTTCTTCAGTATTGCTTTGACAATTCTGGGTCTTTTGTGATTCTATATATCATATAATAAATTTTAAGATCATTTGTTCTAGTTTGGTGAAAAATGTCCTAAGTAATTTGATAGGGATCACATTAAATCTGTAGATTGCTTTCGGCAGTATGGCCATTTTAACAAAACTGATTCTTCCAATCCAAGAGCATGGGATGTCTTTCCATTTCTTTAAGTTATCTTTAATTTCCTTAATAAATGTTTTATAGTTCTCTTCATATAAGTCTTTCACCTCCTTGGTCAGGTTTATTCCTAAGGATTTTATTTTTTTGATGCAATTTTAAAAAGGACTTTTTTTTTTACTTTCCTCTTCTGATATTTCATTGTTAGTGTAAAGAAATGCAACTGATGACTGTATGTTAATCTTGTAACCTGCTACCTTGCCGAATTCTTTTATCAGCTCTAGTAGTTTTTGTGTGGAGCCCTTAGGGTTTTCTATATATAGTATCGTGTCATCTGCATATAATGACAGTTTTACCTCTTCTCTTTCAATTTGGATCCCTTTTATTTCTTTTCTTGTCTGATTCCTGTGGCTAGGACTTCCAACTCGATGTTGAATAGAAGTGGTGAGAGTGGGCATCCTTGTCTTGTTCCAGATTTTAACAGGAAGGCTTTTAACTTTTCACCGCTGAGTATTACATTGGTTGTGGATTTGACATAAACAGCTTTTTATTATGTTGAGGTATGTTCCCTCTATACCCATTTTGGTAAGAGGTTTTATCATAAACAGGTGTTGAACTTTATCAAATGCTTTTTCTGCATCTATTGAGATGATCGTGTGATTTTTGTCTCTTCTTTTGTTGATGTGATGTATCACATTGATATGCATACGTTGAACCATCCTTGTGTCCCTGGGGTGAATTCAGCTTGACTGTAGAATATAATCATTTTTATGTTGTTGTATTTGGTTTGTGAATATTTTGGTTAAAAATGTTTGCATCTGTGTTCATCAAAGATATTGGCCTGGACCTAGAGATAGTCATACTAGGTGAAGTAAGTCACAAAGAGAAAGAAAAGTGCATATGATATCACTTATATATGGAATCTAAACCAAAAAAATGACACAAATTTACAAAACAGAAACAGACTCACAGACATAGAAAACAAACCTATGGTTACCAGTGGGGAAGGGGAGAGTGGAGGGATAAATTGGGAGTTTGGGATTTGCAGATACAAACTACTATATAAAAATGGACAAACAACAAGGTCCTACTGCCTAGCACAGGGAACTATATTCAATATCTTGTAATGGCCTATAATGAAAAAGAATATGAAAAGGAATATATATATATAAAACTGAATCACTATATTATACACCAGAAAGTAATATGTTGTAAACCAACATTTAAACAACTAAAAAAAAAAAAAGATGAGGGACAGTCTTTGCTTAGAAAGTAGGTAGTTAGTAGAACTCCCAGGTTTGCAGCCAGACAGCTCATCTCTTTGAAGATGCCTTATCTCTGAAAGTCGACCCAGGGCCCAGCTGTGTGGACACGAGAGCTGAGCTGCTGGGTCCACCTGGACTCCTCCACGATTCCTTCTCTTCCCTTCTGAACACACGTTTCTGGGACTGGACGGCAGGACCTGGAATAGACAGTGGTTGGATATTTTCATTCCTCATGGGAGACCTGCCCACGTCCATTTCAGGAGCATCATTGTTTCTTTGGCCCCGAGAGGGATAGCTTCTCTCATTGAGAAGGGAGGACACATTCATGCATGAGACAGACGTGTACTTAACCAGACCCAGGGGAGGGTGGTGTGCGCTCTCACACAGACACACGCACGTGCAGTCGTCTGCTGATTCTTCTAAAGGAGACACAAAGCTTGTGCTTCCTCATTTTCAAAATCCTCGAATGCCGGCAGGAAGTGAGGGGAAATGGACAACTGTGTCCAGGTCTCACTGAACACGTTCACGTTTCTGCGATTCAGCAAAGGAAGCCTAAGAATTATGACCCATTGCAATTCCGTACTCTTGGGAAAAAATAGCAAACAAAACCACCTCACCTTAAGTGTTTGTAACAGATTATCACAAGAAAATAATTAGTGGAATTATTTTTATAAAAAGTCAGCTAGAGGGGAAAAACAAACGGAGGAAGACCGAGGAAACCACACAACGGGCAGACCCTAAAGAGCCGTCTTGCAAAAGGGCTAAGACCTTTCTAGACACCAACGCAGGAAGGAAGACATAATCAGCCCATGTTAACAGACATTAGGGCAAATACCAATTTTTGTAAGGGAAGCAAAGCTTTTATCAGCATAGTATTATTTAAAAACATGTAACTATATAAGTGTGTATATAAACAGAACTATAGATTTATACAAGTGCATGCATTTATAAAAATATTTTTATATGTGTATAAATACACTTTATGTTCACATAATACTTTATATATTATACATTTGCAATATAAGATCTAGTTTACATATTTGTAATAAGAAAATTATATGTATATGCCATATAGCGAATGTTTATAGATGTTAACAAACACAAAAAAATGAAAACATTGGCAGAAAGTACCTCAGTGTACCTGTACATACCCTTCCCCGTGTCACCTGATGACACGCATGTGACCCCCCCCCCACTTATGCCCGCCTCTGGACCTCACACCAGGGTGGCTCCGTCCTGCCAGTCCACCCAGGCCCCAGGAGCGCTGGCTCTTGCTGTCCTGGTTTTCTCTCTTTCTTTCTTATTTTTTCATTATAGCCCCTTTTCTTTTTTTCTGTTGCACAAATTAAGCCGTGTGTGTCTAGCACGCCATTTGGGGAGGGTTATGTGAGTGTTTCTGCTGGTTTTACATCCCGTGTGGTGTTCAATCTCTGATGGGCGGCTCCCCCACACCCACCGGGGGCAGTGAGCCCGCGGCGGGTTCACCTTTCATGCTGCCTCTGCCATCACTTCTCCAGGCCTTGTAACACGGCTTCTGAGCTGCCTCCTGACCGTCAGCCTCGGGGGCCCCCCCGCAGCTGCAGTCCTTCCTCACTGCCTTAGCTGAGAACTCAGGTAAGATAGTGCACCAGCGAGGGGCATGGTGACTGCTTTCCAGATTTTATGCCACCCAGGAAGAGTGAGGATTTGGTGGATAATTTCCTGGTAATATAAACCTATTTCTAGGAATATATCCTTGATCATTTTTTTAAATTTCTGCTATCAGAAAAGTCAGTGTTCACATTATTCTTCAACTGACCTTACCTAGTGGGCCCATCCAGCCTTGCTCTTCCCTGTGCCGTGTTCTCTTGGAGTCAAGTTCGGGGTTGTTAGCATTGTGTTTAGCTGTTCCCTGCAGCCGTTCAAGTTTGTTTGATGTTGTGTGTGTGTGTGTGTGTGTGTGTGTGTGTGGATTCTGCTTTCTCTAATGAAGACCTGCATTCACTTTATACTCACAGTGCTCTTGTTTGTACTAATGAAGAAAATTTTGAGTTTTCTGTATCCCAAATCCTGTCTATAAATTTCTAGATTCTTCTAAAAAAGTGTTGTTTTTTCAACTTAATGGTTATGAGGAAGATATATGAACAGTTTCAGTTTTTCAAAATACGCTCTGGCAACTTGAAAAGCCCAAGGATGCAAAGTGTCAGCGTGCAGTGAGAACCAGCATCACAGAAGAGTCCAGAAAAAGTTTTTAAATTGCCAAGAAAGATAGGAAACTCATGGGAAAAACCAGTTATATGTTTAGAGAATAACCA